AGTTCTATGTAACAATATACGAAATATATAAAATCGTATATCCTTGAAATGATTATATTGGCTTCTATTAAAAAAATAAATTATTTATTATTTTACGATTAAAAAAATTTTTTGTCATTTAGTGTTTAATTATTAAGAAAATTTGTTTTATTTATTTTTTATTTATTTATTAGGAAAATTTATTTTAAGTATAAAAAGTTAAGCATCAATCAAGTGCACTGATAAAAGTTTAAAGGATTTTAACCTATAAACGGTTAAAATATTATGTATGTATAAATATAAATTTAGTAAAATATTTTGTTTCTTAGCATTAATAGTAATGTAATTTAAAAAATAAAAATGTATAGGAACATTTCTTCATATTTTCAAATAATATCCCGTTTTACAGGATGAAAAAGGTATTAATCTTTTTCGTAATAAGAACAAAGTGAATAATCTTTTTTTATGTCACTGTCGATAGCAAGAAATGATATACTTCTTATTTCCTAAAAATAAGTTAGTAATTATTCATAGTAATTATTCATTTTATAATGTTATTATCAAAACTCTTATATTTCGAAAAATACAGTAGTAAAAGAAAATTCGAGGTATACAATATAAATTTTTTATTATGTGCAAATGGAACATTATGTATGTTTATAATGGAACATTATATATATACAAAAAAATATAAAGGGTAGAAAATGCGTGCATATGTTGTAGAAAGCTAAAGCAAATAGACAAAAAAAAGAAAAAAATTTAATTCTACGTAATACATATTAGAATGTATAAAAAAAACTAATAAATGTAACAAAGCATCGCTTTCATAAATGAGACTAGTACAAACCGAGAATAGTATTAACATAAGTCATCATTTTAGTATTAATAATATGATATCAAGATCGTTATTCCATCCATAAGTTCAATGAGCTGATATATTGACATATCTTAAATCGAAATCATAAATTAGAATTTGGCAAGTAATAGAATATATCGAATAATGAATAATGAAAACGAATATTTGACATAATATTAACTCTTTGCACTCCAAATTATTTTTCAATTATTTTTTTTTTCTTTTGGCAATTTAACTGGCAATTTAAAAATATCGAGTGTGACACAACATTAAAGTTCTTATGATAAAAACTGATGTCGAGTCACACTCAATAAAGGAGCGCAAAAGGTTAATATTATATTAATGATATAATATTATATTAATGATATAATAATAATTTGATATACGATAATCTACAAAGAATGAAGTAGAGAAATTTTCTATAAAAGTGAATCAACAATTGTTTAAAATAATTCAAAATATTTCAACTCAAAAGAACAAATTTCATTTTATATAGTATGACTCTCTCTCTCTCTCTCT